CAAGTACACATTCTGTTTGATTGTTCTTATTGTTCTTAATTATTTATGTTTTCATTCATTCATTCATTCATTCATTCCTTCATTCATTTCTTCATTCCTTCATTCATTCATTTGGCTTTATTTATTGCAGCTAGTTACCTAACAAATTATTAAATCTTTAAAACGAAAATATATCAAATGTGGCATGTAAAAACAGCAATTATAAGAAATTAAATAAATATTTTTTATTTTTTAATTTATTTTAATTTAATTAAATTTAATTAAATTTAATGTTATTTAATAACTATAATAACTACATATTTATTTAATTTAAAAACTGTTACATGTAAAAACAGCATTTATAAAAAATAAAAATATAAAATTTGTATTCATTCATTCATTTTTAAAATAACTTTTTTTATTTAATTTAATGTTATTTTATCCTTTTTTATTTTACTTTACTTCATTTTATTTTATTTTATTTTTGTTTTTTTATTTTATGTTTATTTTTTATATTTTATTTAATATTTTATTTTATTTTATAATTTAATTTAATTTAATTTAATTTAATTTAATTTAATTTAATTTAATTTAATTTAATTTAATTTAATTTAATTTAATTTAATTTAATTTAATTTAATTTAATTTAATTTAATTTAATTTCATTTCATTTCATTTCATTTCAAAGTACCCAGTCTAAGAAAGTCTGTTTCTGCTTCGGCTAATCATCAAACTAAATTTAACATCATAAATTTAAGTCAAACTTGCAATATATGAAATGTGACATTAATAAAAATAAATAAGTAAATAAATAAGTAAATAAATAAATAAATAAATAAATAAATAAATAAATAAATAAATAAATAAATAAATAAAAAAGTCAGGAATACGTTTGTTTTAATAATTTAATAGTATAATAAGCATTAGAATAATATCATAAAAAATATCATAAAAAATAGATTTAAAAATAAAAATGACACATTATCTATAATCAACTTATTTAGTTATTCCATTAGGCAAACAGTGTAATGTTATCCTTTTTTAATAAACACAAAGGGAAATTAATCCATAACAAGTAACATTCAGGAATCATGTTGCTGTATCTGTAATCAGATTGCCATTTTTGATAACAAACCTGTTCTCTTTTGAGCACGGCAGAAAAAAAAAATGTTCAGGCAGATCAAACAACTCCTAAATACAATCTCACTCCTGACTAACAACTCGGTGGGTTGTTTGTTTTGGATGTGTTCTTGCTGTTCATATTACAACTACACATCCTTGTTTGATTGCTCCGCTCGGGTGTTTCCAGAGGGGATTGTGGAAGAAGACAGGAAGATCAGAGACACAGCCACAGGTGACAGAGACTCACATAAAAGCAGCATCTCAAGAGAACGACAGGAGTGAAGGGAACAGAATAACAGAGGGTTTTAACAGACCCGATACTGCGTTCGTATGTGCTATAGTCACATACCAGCTGAGCCAATCTGAGCTGCTGCTGCGCGCCAGGTAATATTGAACACAATTCCTATCGTTCAGTCAACGCTTTCAATCATCAGTGCATCCTTGAGCCACCTCAGCTGAACTGAAAATTGAAGTTTGATAGAATCTTAAAAAAAAGATGGCAGTTTTAGGGCATTTCATCAACTGAAACTCCTCAAATAAGAACAAACATCACTGAAAACTGTCATCGGTGGTCATTCTTGAGACATCTTGTTTCTTCTACTCAAAATGTTTTCTTTTTGTACGATTTTGTACCATTTTCTTGGTAGACAATTCTGTCATAATTTTCTCGGTCTTGTGTCGCTAGAACTCTATATGGCTTTCTTTGAAGCACGGAGAACAATTTCATGTAAGGTGCCGACAGTCTTTTCTATACAACAGCTTTTACCCGGCCATTATCTTTTCAAAGGTACTAAAATGCACAATTTAGGTGCACTTTAAGGTACTAATATGGGTTAAATAGGGTGCACATGTTGAAAAGGTACTGCCTTGGTGATAGCTATAGTACCTTTTTTCTAATAGCGTATAATAAAAGTAAATGCAGACACTGTTGAGCTCCTAAAAGACTAAAACAACTGGGATAAAAGCCTGCCCTAAGAAACACACAAAAAGGTGAATTGTGTGGTTTTTAGATTTGTCATCTTACCCATTTAAACATGCAGCTTAAAGAGAAAGTTAATTAAAAGTGCCATCATGTGCTCACTCTAATATCGTTTCAAATCAATAAGATAAATTAATACATTATTAATGAATCCTGAAACCTGAAACTAAAACCTCAATCATACTTATGGTATTCTAAAAGGAATTCATTTAAAGCTACTTGAAGAATTGGTTACTTGAACCAGATAGAACTTGTCTTTTTGGTTTTAACTTGGGGTTTTTTTTTTTTTTTCACTCTTTAAAGGGTTAGTATCCATTGACATACATTTATTATATCAATAATATAATCATGCTATTGATTTGCCTTATGAAAAGCCACACTATGCCTACTTATATATATGCAAAAATAAATTAACATTTTTTTAGGTTGCAGGATTTTCTATATAAGATTTCCTTTGAAATATATAACAGAATTATTTGGCATAATATTTTACTTTCTGCAGTAATGTTTGTCTGAAAATGGACATAAGAGGGTTTTTCCCCTTGCACATTTATACACTGTATTTGCATTTTTGTTACATTTTAAAGCAGTATTGTGGTAACATGATATGGAAAAAAATGCAATAATGCAATAATAATTGGCAGGATTTCCATAACAGAAATAATAAAATGAACAATAATAAATGATAAAGTATAATTTCCCCTTTTATCAGTTGTGTCTGAGAAACTTTTTTAGTACAATTTTAGTACTGGTGTGCACTACATGTATGAAACCGATATCCTGTTTCATGGCAGAAAGTCATACACAGTGTGATTCAAGAACTTTGAAAATCGGGAACTCTGTAAAGAAGAAAAGGAGAGCTAAGCTCTTTCTGTTGTTGATTTAAGGAATCTCTGAAGTTTTGAAAAACATTGTTAAGTACTCTACATATTGATTATTTACCCAAGGTTCCATCATGTAAGTTGTGGTATTCTTTTTGAATCACCATGTATTTTGATTTGAGAAACCCTATGATGATTTTAAGTGATTTATGACAAACACTTTTAAAAATGTCAGATTTAATTGATGATTAGAAATAGTATCATGTTTTCCGTGAGAATGTTAAATTTAGCCATTAAATTACAGCTATTTTTAAAAACCAAGAAGAGGAAACATTTATAGAGAAACTTTCAAACATCTGGTACACTATCAACATTTTCTTTGTGAAGGACATCCAGATTTAAATATTTGACATTGTACGGTTTCAGAGAAATTAACTAAAATACAATATATAAAGTATCTCCCTGGGTCTGTGTAGGGCTGGACGATATGACCTAAAATCAAAACCTTGATTAATTGAGCAATTTACCACGATTTTGATTATTGAGTGATTATTTTATTATCATTTTTTTCCCCTTCATAGTAGTGTTATCATTTGTACTTTAAATATACTCTTAACTATCAAATGTCCTTTTTCTAATAAAAGAGCAGTTTTCTATTCTAAACAATTTGTGGTCATTTGTTAAATACTTCAAAGTGAAATCAAAGCCTAAATTGCTTGAAATTAAAGTCATTTTGTAAAAAAAGGGTAACATTTTGATTTTAATGTAAAGGACAAGATTCATTAAAAAATATAGAAAATAACTTTTTGCAAACAAAATAACTGGATATTTAATTGTCAAAACTGGAAAAATCACCAGCATCTCTTGCAAGTAAGACAAAATTTTTAACAAATCATCAGTCAACCAAATATTTCCTATTTGAATTTATTTGTATTTTTTATGAACGTAGTTATGCAAGCCATGCTTCTTCTGATTTCGTGTCCCTATATACATTTCTGGAGAGAGCAAAATTCTTCCCAGGAGCTACGTTTTTTTTTTTTTTTTTTTTACAGTTTTTGTTCTCGCAAATCCACCAGAGGCCGATGTGTATGCTTTCTGAGATCTCAAATGTCTCTCGCAAGTGCCATTCGTGCCTGCTCTTCTCATGTAAATCCACCAGAGGCCGCTGTTGACTCACTGACTGACTGACCAACCAACCTATCGATCACCCCACCAAAACCCTTTTCTAAACCCAACTGTGTTTTAAAAAACACAGATTGACCATAGGGCTAAGTTTTTTTTAAGTTTGCTAAGGCGACTCCTTATAACCTAATACACCAAATGTGCTTGACATGCTGTAGCTCAGCAAATTAAAAATAAATAAATAAACAAAAAAAGTCTTTTGCATCCAATAATCACTATGACATTGCCTGTGATCGCTTGATTTGCTGAAATGAAAATGTGGATGATACATGAGCATGATACAGTCCAGCCCTAGCTCTGTGTAAATGAATGAATGAATGAATGAATGAATGAATGAACAATTAAATGGATGAAGACAATTTTTTGCTTAGTTGATTTATAAAGTTTAGTGTATACTGTGACAATGTACTAAACTTTGGATATTTTTTCTCAGTATCAAGTTTTTATTTTCAGTTCAGCAAAACAATTATGCAAATTAATAGTCAAGACGCATAAAATATTTTCCTTTACAGTTGAAAACAGTGTTGTGTAAACACCTTCTAAAAGCGTTTTTCACAGGGACATGATGGAGTTAAGCCACATATCGCCTCTTGCGAATCTGTATTCCTTCCAGCCTCAATCTCCGACCCCCTCCTCTCTGCCAAAACTAGACTACCACAAACACACTGAATCCTAACAAAATAAAAAATGAGGGTTGAGGTTTCTAAGTGACAGCAAGCTTGGACATTCAATATCTGACCTGCTAGAAAATGAAGTGGTGAGAAAAGCGAAGCATCAAAGAGCTCCTCATCCACGCGCAATCACACACGCAGTCACACTCTTTATCTTACTGTCACAGGGATGTGGGGAAGCTCACCAAAGAACAAAGAGGAAGAAGTGGATTCTCTCTGGACTCTGAGATACTGAAGCCCACTCACCTGTTTTCTGTCCTTTTGTGCAGGAGGAAGCAGGGCCCTCGAACGATCAGCAATTTTCTGTCAGAGAAGAGAGGGGAAAAAATGACATTAATATGCAAATAAAGCCAGACGTGTGACAGCAGCTGAGAAAAAAAAAGAAGTTTAGTGGATTCTTTATTCACTGGTTTATGTTTTTGCTGCACGAATGAGCAGCAAACGTTCTGTAGGGGATTCCTTTAACAATAAATTTCAAAGATCATAAGTTACTGTGATGACACTTGTTCAGCAAATTCACAACAGGGATATTTGTTGGTCAGAAAAAAGTGCAATTATTTAATTTTGCAAAAGAAAAAACATATACCTATTTTGAGTAGGGTGTTTCTGGGTAATTATGATGCAGTTGAAGACCATCAAATGATTCTGCAGATGCTTACTGTCACTAAAGACTAAGGATGCAATGATTCACCTGACTCTAGCATAAGTCGAGGTCTTTGCACATTTACAATGTACCCTGCTGATGAAAAAAACTCTTTCATTGGGGACTGAAATGACTAGTGTGGAGAGGTAAACTGTTTCTAAATCAGAGAGCAGTGTGTACAGAGGTGGTCAAAACTAGCTTAAAAAATGATTCTAAAATGACTAATTATACTGTAGCATAGAAACAGGAGTTGAACATAATTATAAAGGTAAATAATTAATATTACTTGTATAATTAATTAGGCAGCACAGTGGTGCAGTGGGTAGTACAATCCCTCACAGCAAGAAGGTCGCAGGTTCGAGCCTTAGCTGGGTCAGTTGGCGTTTCTGTGTGGAGTTTGCATGTTCTCCCCTTGTTTGCGTGGGTTTCCTCTAGGTGCTCCGGTTTCCCCACAATCCAAAGACATGTGTTACAGTTGAATTGGGTAAGCTAAATTGGCCGTAGTGTATATGGAGTGTGCAAGAGTGTGTGGGTGTTTCCCGGTGTTGGGCTGTGGCTGGAAGGGCATCCGCTGTATAACACGTGTGCTAGATAAGTTGGCGTTTCATTCTGCTGTGGCGACCCCTGATTAGTAAAGGGACTAAGCCGAAAAGAAATTGAATTAATGAGTATCAGTGTGATACACTTAAGAAGAAATAATCTTGAACAATTTTTAATATTCAGTAATAATAAACAAATTATTAAAATATGCATAAACTAGTTTGAAAAGGAGAGGGCAAAAATCATCTAATACTGTTCCTGCTTCTGTAACAGAACAACTTTCTTTTTTAGTCTGAAAAACATCTTCAAGCTTTTGCTATGAAAACACTGATGCACCCTGTGATCTCCGTAGCACTCGTTGGAGCTGCAAATCATCCGGTTTGGTTGATTTGGCTTATTTAGTTTTTTAGCGTATAGAAATCTGTGACAGTAGTTTTTCACTCTGCTGATGATTTATGTGCATCATATTCGTTGTTCGGTTAGTGTAAGTAAAAGTCTTTTTGCAGTATTTGCACACAGTTAGTGTTTTGTCTAGAACAGTGGTTCTCAAATTTTTTTCATCAAGTACCACCTCAGAAAAAAAATGTCTCTCCAAGTACCACCAAAATGAGCAGTATTGAAATACAGTAGTGTTGTAGGCCCAGTAAAGCAGCTACAACTCTGCACAGTTAAAAAAAAAAACGTGGCCGTGAATTGGGTAAGCTTAAATTGTCTGTGGTGAATGTGTGTGAATGAGAGTGTGTGGGTGTTTCCCAGTTATGGGTTGCAGCTGGAAGGGCATCTGCTGCGTAAAACATATGCTGGATATGCTTTGGCAACTCCAGATTAATAAAGGGACTAAGCCAAAAAGAAAATGAATGAATAAATGTATATATATATATATATATATATATATATATATATATAATATGTAGTATATAGTATAGTATAGTATATATATATATATATATATATATATATATATATATATATATATGTTATATGTACATATTTTATCATGTTTAAATTTAATTATATTTTATTAGTTTGTTCATTCATTCGTTAATTCAAATGTCAAATTAAAAATGAGTCATATTAATTTGAATTACATTTTTATTCATCTAAGTCTATTCGTTATGCAGTATTCTTTATATTTGAAATAATAATACACACATATTTTATATTATTTTGATAGATGTAATCACAGTTTGTATTAAATGCATTGAAATTAAATTTATTTTAACTACAGTTTTCAAAATTTCAAATAAGAATATTACAATTGGGTGACGCGGTGGCGCAGTGGGTAGCGCTGTCGCATCACAGCAAGAAGGTTGCTGGGTAGAGCCTAGGCTGGGTCAGTTGGCATTTCTGAGTGGAGTTTGCATGTTATCCCCTTGTTCGCGTGGGTTTCCTACCGTATAGGTGAATTGGGTAAGCTAAAATTGTTCGTAGTAATGAGAATGTATGGGTGTTTTCCAGTGATGGGTTGCAGCTGGAAGGGCATCCTCTGCGTAAAACATATGCTGGATAAGTTGGCGTTTCAGTCTGCTGTGGTGACCCCTGATTAATAAAAGAGGAGGCTCATTCTCCTTGCGATGCAGATGGTCTCTTTAACTCTCATTTTCTTGCAAGTGAAGCGTTCAGTTTTTACACTTACAAAGTCCGTCATGTAAGTAGCAGATGCACCTTGGCATGACGCAACTGACTCTTAAAGGGAATGGGAGATGAGACTCTGATTGGTTTAATGCACATTATGCTCAAAACACACCCAAAACTTATGAAGAGAATAAGCACAACCCTGTTAGACAATATGCAAAGCGTATTTTTCTGTTTTTAAAATAGCAAAAGTGAATTTGGACATGCCCTTAATGCAATTGCGTCATGCGCTTTAGTCTTTGACCCTACAGTATATCATTAAAATAGATCCTTTAATGTGTTGGCAGCAATAGTTACATTTATTAAATGTCATTTCATAAGCATATTATAGATGCAATTATAATTGCTGCGCACATACATTACAAGCAGCAAGTATATATGTGTTTCATGTGTACTGTACCTTCTGCAGTTCTCCATATCGCTGGACAGAATCTGACAGCTCTGTTTTGAGTCTCGTCAGACGGAGCCTGTCTTGCTGTGGGGAAACAAAATGGCATGGCTTTTAAAATGAATACTCGGTCAATATCAACACTATAATTTCAACATGACAACATTTATTTATTTATTGTTCAGATAAAGCCAACATCACTGTATATACACACATATACCAAGACCACAGTTCCAATAAACAAAGAAAAATGGCAGATTTAAAGTCACGACTTTTACCCGTGAGGATCCGCTGATGATGTCAGTGAGTTGTTTAACAAGTTGGCTTGTGCTTGTTATGACTTTATTGGTCTGCTGCTGTGTGGAATGCCTGAAAGAGAGAGAGAAGAGGATAGAGAGAGAGAAAAAGGTGAAAAGATTGGTAATCATGCTTTACAAACCACAGAAAATGACTCAAAACAATTCATCAACAATCCCAAGGTGCAACGCTCTCCAAGCTGGGTTAGGTTTACAGCCCTATTGGATGGATTAAGCTCAACCAATTAACCAAATCAATATTAATGACTGCGCGACAGAGGAACAACATTGTGCAGTGAGGGACTGTGTTTTGTGGCTGCAGAGCTCAGAGGATGTCAGGCAGGCTTTAGGCTCCAGGCAGAAGTCAATCTGCCACCCCGAAGGAAAAGCAAAGGATTAGATGTTGTGTACAGAGACAGCAAAATCAAACGGAGGAAAGGTAGCACGCCACAAAAAGAGGTTTGCTGTAGAGAATGCATTAACAGAGCTGATGAAATCAAGACTGCATACAGAAGATGATATTTATGACTGCACAAATAAAAGTGAAGGAAGGGAAACTGTTTGAAGGACAAGACCAATGCACAGGGCTCCAGGCCAATGAGGAATCACAGAAACCGTTCATGTTTAATAGACTACAGTAGCTCTGTTTCCATCCACCTAGTATTATGTGCGATTTAGATTTGTGCATAAAAAAGGGTTGATGGAAACGCCAAGATGTGTAAAAGTTTTAAAAATGCTCATAAAAAACCTATACACATAACTGAGTAGAATAAACGTTCTATTCAATAGAAAAGATGTGCTTAAACTACAATGGGAACACTTTTGCTGAACAAATTCCAGTATGCACATTAAAAAGTCATAGATCATGTGATGAAAAAAAAATATTGTATTGTATTGTGTTATTATATTAATAATGAACTCCAGAATCAAGAGCGTCTGTGCTCTGCATTTCACGCCTTCAAGTGCCACCACGGGTTCATTGCATGTCAGCATTTGTCTTCTGAGGCACAAGTAATTTATTAAATAAAGAAAAGATTCATGCAGCTTCTCCTACCGCAGTAAACTACTTTGGATGTTAGGCCACAGGTAATCAGTAATTGACAAGTTTGTACTCTTTGACTCATTGGATGAAAACGCTGCTATTGTTGCCAAGTCGTTGCAAGAAAATCCATCCAATTGCTCATCAAAATAAGTCCAGTTAAACTTTTTATGATGTTCTCGAAACTGAGCTGAAATCACATTTCTTGTGACTTAAGTCCATGTGACTTAATAATTATGGGCAAATGTGTAAAACTAGCAGTTATTGGCAAGCCTTCACTAAGAAATACAGTTTCTTGTCTTTTTTTGTACAAATATTCACATTTTCTAGATCTCAAAGATTTTCTAGATAAGTGAAAAATATTGCCTGCTTTTTCCTTAAAACAAGCTAACTTATTGACCATTGGGTTAAGTTATTAAGTATCATTCTGCTTTTTTTAAGCAAAACTTACCAAATTTTGTATCTATTTTATTTTCTAATACAAAGCAATGCTTACAAATTAAAGATAGTTTAGATAGTTTGACTAGAAACCAGACAAACCTGGCATGTCTGCAGTGTTGGTTTTGTGATTTATGAGTAATCCTGCACCAATCACTTTTTCCAAAACCATTACTTTAATTTTTGTGTAATCACAGATACCAATACTGATATTGAAGTAATAAAATAATCCAATTATTATGTTTTAATTGGGTTGAAAAACTAAAGAATACGAAAAATATTAGTTTCCGTAATTCAGGACAAATTAATATTTCCACCAGTCATTTACACAATTATTTTGATATCAAAACATTTCAATAATGAAGACCCACTTAGAAATTGACTTGGTTTCAAAACTCAATTTTAGCTACGTCAATCTCAGTTTATCAAAAGGCAACATCAATTTTTGTTTTCAATTTTCATCATCAATTTTCAAAAAAGCCTAAAATGTTGACTGAACATTAAAAAGCAAATCCTTAAACATAATCATTATGAGTAAACAAACAGTTATTATACCATGAATGTCATAAACATGCCTAGCACTGTTTGCTGATGATTTGGATTAAAGATAATAATGTAGTAAATAATGTTCAGTTTCTTCCAAATATTGATCATTTGCTTCATAAAATATAGATAAACCATCAGGAACAATAAATAATAATTTCATTTTTCCTGTATATGTTATTTTGACTCTTAAGTGACAGTAGAATAAATTGAAATGGCTTAAAGATGAGTAAATTACTAGCAAACTGTCATGTTTGGGCAAATCATCCTTTTAAGGTGCATCAGCAAGGTAAACCTTTGACATGCTGCACAATGAATCAAAGTCCATTTTGAGCCACTGACCAATCAAATCAATCTGGAGGTGGGATGAACGCTGTATGGGATTTCATGCACCCATAAACACGCCTTCGCTTCACTTCCGTCGTGCTCCGTCTAGCCTTTTTAACGCTACAATGCATCCTGTGTGAAGGGCCCCAGAGACATTTGTGCCATGGGTATGTCAAAGTCATAATCCATCTCTGGAATCGAGGTGAAAAGGGAAGAACTGTGGCCCAAAAGTGAGAGAATTCAACACGTCGAAAACCCGAGCTTCACTATAGTATGTTATTTGCAGTTCTGAACTGGATGGAAAAGATAGAGAGGGGAAAAAGGGGCCAACGGGTCAGAAGCTCATGAACAAATATAATCTCCTGATAGAAATTCCGTTTTCACCTCAAGCGGAGCGAGGGGTTTGGATAAGGCCATTGATTTAGTGTCTGTGCCACCGCACCGTCTGATCCCATCCTTTAAAACCCAAACCAAGACCACCGGCCAGAGTTCCTCCTGCTCCCTAGAGATATGCAGCAGTGAACGTGGGTTCACCTCCCACTCAAATATTGATTTAAAAAGCGAGGAAGGAAACGAGGAGAAAGGCGTCAGGCAGAAACATCTCCTGGCATTGGTTATGGGTAGGGGCATGTCACTGTCATTCGCCGTCCACCAGAGAGAAACGAGACCAGTCGAGCGGAAAAGCACCTGTAACAATAGCGGCAGGAGCAGGCGTGCTGTGTGAACAAAAAAGGCTGAGGTCCACAGTGAACGTTCTAATCACACGCCAGAGAAAAGGACAGCGCGGCTGAGCAGTTCAACCATAAAACCTGACTTTAGCTACTTTTTTTAACATGATCAGTCCTTTTCAAGGCTGAATGTGAGCAATGATTCACTTCTCGACAGTTCTACATGCATAGACTTCAGATTTCAGGATAGGCCGTGTTCGAAAATTGCCTGGAAAGGTATTAGAATTATTACTAAAGTTTAAAAAAAAAAAACTGTAATTTTTTTCTGCCCTCCAATTCTGTTCACTTGAAAATCCCCGCTGGTATTGCTAAATAGGCAGGTGTTGGGATTTAGGGCACAGTTGATAGTGCCTTGTTGGATGTAGCAGCAGGTCATTCCCAGGAGTGCCGAATTAATAGCTGATAAATCTGCCGCTGACAAGTCATCACTTCACTCTAAACCCAGCTGAGTATAAAAAGAATAGCTCACTCCAAACTGAAAATTCACTCTCATACCGTCTCAAACTTGTATCATTTATAACTTTTTGTGTGTGCATGCAATTACAATGACTTTGTTTGAGAAACAGACCAAAAAAATTAATTTTATTGACCTGTAAAGTAGTAGAATCATTATTATATTTTCATTAATTATGTTGTTTAATTTGTTGACAAAAAATGGATGCCAAATTTTGCATGCAGAAATTGGTGATTGTACTTACAATAAAAAACAATAAAATGTTGAATGTCAATGACTAAATAGACTCATAGACTAAACACATATTATATTAGGAATGCCACAATTCTCAATATAATATTGAACCGTCCGTTACAGCATTTTTATGCAACTTATGAATTGCATTTTTTTCGATTTTACATTTACATAATTTATGTGCATTTTGTTTCTTTCCGAATTGACTGTTTGTGTGTGCCTGTAAGTCTGAGAGCTCAGATGAGGAAATTGTTCTTCGCAAGTAAATATTCAATCACTATGCTCTAAAGTTAGGGGGTGCTTAACCATCATTCCACACTTTAACATGGCGAGCGGCAGGAAAGTGAGGCAACAGTAGGAGGAAACGCCGGCATCTTATAAATCCGCATTTCGGCTTTGTTGTTGAGTATAATGCTGAGACTCGTGGACTTCTTGAAGACGCTGTATGACTGCAGATTTACCAACCCGTCTCAATAAAGAAATTCTTCTGCTTGATTGAGTCTCCTGGACTGGGTTCTTCTTCAATCTTCAATCATGTTATTTTTTTTACAACAGGACTGCACCATGAGTCACGTGACAAGAACTGACAATTCAGCTTGTATGGAATACACACTTTGGTGGATTATTTTACTAATTGTTTTAGACAGGCACAGAACAGCCAAACACTGCAGTGCTTTGTAATAAATTCGGAATTCGGAAGTCCTTGTTAAAAATAAAATAAGTCATCCACAGTATTTGTTTGTGTTTTATATAATCAGGCTAATAAATATCCAAATTGATCTTTTTCTGCACATACACACACACACACACACACACACACACACACATATATATATATATATATATATATATGTGTGTGTGTGTGTGTGTGTGTGTGTGTGTGTGTGTTATCATCCAAGTTTATCAGTATGAATCTAAAGTGTTGACATGGTCAATACATATAGTAGGGAAAATATGAAAAACATCTTAAGGGAGTCATAATGGTCAGAAACAACATGGCAAATTAGCAAAGGGAGACTTTTCAATTAAAAGTGAACTATTCCTTAAAGAAGCTTTAAAATCACAGATTTAAAATCACATACATCACATGCACCAACACAGCATCATCTGAGGCACAGACAAAAGGTCAGCATGGAATCATTTGCATACGTGTTACGCCGCCGCCAATGTGACATTAGTGCTAGTTAACCTGGTGCCTGAGATAAGTGAACATAACTGTCCTCTGTGAAATTCAGAAAGATCTGAATAATATTCAGCACAGAACAGACACAGAAAAGGCTATCAGGGGCGGGGGGAGGAGAAAAAAAAAA